TTGCTGGTTTAGGATAGATCAGACTCCCCCAGTATCCTGGCATGCTCTCTGGGCTAGGCGCGGCTCTCTGCTCCACAGCAGAGCTGGTCCCTCCCCTCTGCTCCCTGGCTGCAGCTCCAGAGGTTTCAGGCTGCTGTCCCCCCTCCCCCTCATCACTCCTTGCTAAGCAGCCCCCCCTCCCCTCTGCCTTGCTGAGGAGGTGTTTGTGTATTAGCTAGCAGACCACATTCTGGCTATGGTCCCTTCTGAGTCAACAGGCAGAATCAACAGGTAGCTGGTAATGTCCCTCTGTGATTAATATATATGATTAATATCTCCTGAGAGAGGTAGATAGCCATATTAGTCTGAAGACAGGCTCAGGGAAGGGCAGAACAACACCTTCTAAATTAATTCACAGAGGCATGAGCTTTTGTAGGAAACAGGGGTGATAATGGGGTGATAAACACTGAGTTAGGGGTGATAAACACTGTTATTAATTCCCTGCTGTGCTAATCAGAGCATCCTGCCAGGGTCTGGCCCATTCCCCCACTCAGCTCAGTGCCGTGGAAGGGCTGGAACGCTGCTCTAGCACCCTTTGGCTTGTAGCCTGAGCCACTACAGGCATGTGCCTGCGTTTTTGGGATGTTTGTCTGGTTACAAAACTGATTTAGCTTAGCCAGGTTAGGCTAACCTGCAAAGATTGAATCCATTCAGGTGCAGGCTTTTTGAATGACTGTTCCTAGCCCAGATCATGCAGAAGAGGGATGGATGGAGCAGTGGCAGGAAGTCAGCTTGCTGTCAGTAAAATGTGGAAAGTGGGCTGGATGGGACCACAAGGTGACAGCAGGGGATGAACATGCTGTTAGTAAAATATGGATTGGATTAGACCTTCACAGGTCCGATCCAGTGTCTTTGCATGCTGGATTCAGCCTGTTAGCTGTCGGTCATCAACCCCCATCTTAAGTATGGAATTTTTTATTTGTTCCCTGCAGTGATTGCTGCAGGATGTCTTTGCCATGTAAGAAATTGTTTAACTTTTTTTAGAACTATTTTAAATTGCTCACAGCTATTTAAATAAAAGAAAATAAAATTAATACCAAGATGGGTCTTTTTGCCTAAAAAAGGAATGACATCTGGGAGAGTGATTAGAGTAAAAAGTTCTGGCCACCTGGCAGATAATGTATGATTAAGATTTTCACTTGTTTCATCTTAACCCAGCAAGGCAGTCACCAGTCTTGTCTATAATACTGGTTCTTGGCTCATTCACACTATTAGAGTCTTTTTAACCATCAGGGTTGTGGGTATTTAGAAAACTTAAGCACTGAATTAACCCCTTTCCATTTCAGAGTTCTTCCCAGTCTGAGGACAGTGACAGGTATAGGAAAGACTGTAATATTGATGCTCAACAAACTCTTTCCTTGACCTGTGGTCTCAATATCCAGAAATGCATTTGTAATATCCCTGAATGCAAATATTGCCCCAAAACAAAAGAGATGCTTTTACTTTGAAGATAGATGAATACCAAAATGTGTTAAAATATTCTCTTCTTTCTTATTCAGGGTGCTTTGAATGCTGTATCAAATGCTTGGGGGGGATTCCCTATGCCTCGCTGATTGCCACCATCCTGCTGTATGCTGGCGTCGCACTGTTCTGTGGCTGTGGACATGAAGCACTTTCAGGAACTGTCAACATTCTGCAAACCTACTTTGAGATGGCAAGAGCTGCTGGGGACGTTATTGATGTCTTTACCATGTAAGTCATTATTTAACCTTTTCTCTTTTCTTGATTTCTGAATATTTTGTACAGGGAGATGGATTAGATTCATGACAATCTGCTGCAATAAAAAATAAAGGAAGAATAACCTTCTGCGTATATAATTTTATTGGATAAGTATGACAATTGAAATTCTGTGAATGCTAATATTTTTTTCCATTCTGTCATTCATTTCTAGTACTCCATGGCATCTTAGTAATTGGATACTAATAATTGTATAATTCATTGATTCACTGATGTATTTTGTGATCTTTGTGGACTATCCTTATACTTTTTAATAATTTAAGTGATATAAAATATATCATATAACATACAAATATGCTTTTTAATTAAAAATTTGTAAATGCAAGTCACAGGGACCTAATTACCTTAAGGTAAAAAAGGATAGGGATTTACTATGTGCCTGCTGCTTTCATTGAAGGCTAAGCTACTGTGGTTTAGCTTTCATCAACTTTGGAATATGAGTATGCATGTAGTCAATTACTCTAGAGTAACTAACTGTGGTAAAGCCTTACTTCCTTTTAGTTCTGGATAAATGGTTTGCCTGTATGTGTAGTTTTGTTTTGCATTTGTAATCACATTTCATACCTTAGAAGCATATTTTTCACATGGTCACAAATTAATGAAAAATAAAGGTAAGCATCAATAATGTCCAGCTCTTCTAGAAAAGATGTTGGAACAGTGCAAAAATCATACCCCTAATGTAAGCAAAGGGAAAACTGAATAATCCAAACAATGGTTTTGATGCTACTATTGTCAGCTTCAAGCACTCACAGCATTTAGGTCTGGCCTTCCCAAATCAACATATTGGTTTAAAATTATGACATTGTTTAAAAGACAAATGCAGGATTCCTTTTTATTTGCTTTTTTGTTTCTGAGCAGGCCTCCTTCTCCAACCTATGGATATTCCACTGGGAAAAACTTGTGGAATGGTGTGATTCTGAGGAGCATTCAGCTTCATCTCTGTGTCATCTGCTTCCCTTGAATGGGACAGCTTCCTGCCAACATAATGTAGTAGGCAGTGACAGAAAAGTCTTGGCAAGGGGCAGAGTTAGAAGAGATTGAAGCATAGACCACGGAGAAGAGGGGGGAGGGAGGGGCTTCTGAAAGCTGGAGCTTTGGATTTTTTTTGATCCTTTGGATGTAAAAGCCCATACCCCTTACTTCTTCCTCAAGTCCACAAGCCTGTGCACAGTTCCTCTTGTTGAGCATGTCTACCTCATCAGAGGTGCCATGGGTCTAATAGGATATCCTACTGAAATAAAATGACACATGTTTATGGTGACTCCTCTCCTCTTCCTTTCTCACAAATACATCCTCTTTGGTATTTCAGTGCAAGTTTTCCATTGCTGCACATGTACTGAGCTGAAGCTGAAATACCCTGTTCTTCATTCCAGGGAGTATTAGGTTTTCACAATGAAACGAAGCAGTTCATTCACTATCATACAATAAGTGACAAAGCTAGGAGTGTATTTCAGGTCTTCTGACTTTCACAGTTGTACCATTGCTTCTAGGTCATAGTTGCTTCCTTTTTGTGCAGGGATTTTCATATAATGAATGCTAGTCAATTGTTTGCTAGATTAGGCACCTGTATGCCACATCCAGAGGGTTGAGCTGCTTGAGCTGAACATCCTGTACTACTGCTTATAGTGCTTCTGGGAAACGTGGCTTTTTGATACCTTTATTCTTTTTTGCCTAGCATAAAGAATTATGTATCTCACTTGACTTCACAGCTAGGGTTCAGTGTTATGGCTGAATGAAAGATCAGTCATTTTATTAGGCTCTAACATATTTTATTAGTCTTTAGAAACCCATTAGCGAAGAACTATAGTAAATTGATGCTTTCACTTCTTAGCAAGTTTTCCAGATTTTCTCTGTCAAAATCTTAAGTGACACTCTCCGTCAATGCAGATAATTAATTGGAAATGATAGAGCAGCAGTAAAGACTAATTGAATTGTTTTTCTTGAAATACCAGTATTATCCTATGCTGGAGTTCTTTGCTGCACAGCAATGCACATATAGATGCTGGCAGCACTGGCTGGGACACAAAGGTGCTTCAGTGTAGGGTCTGCCTGCCTGCTAGCCCTGCACTGAAGCACCCTCATGCCCCAGTCAGCCCCTTGGTAGCACCTTGAGCCAGGTCCGAGCAGCCCTGGGCTGGCCAGCTGATCCCCTGAACCCCTTGCCAGGCAGGCCTGCTGCGACCCAGCTTAACATGCTGCAGTCTCGGGTGCACATATAAATGTAGTGCCCGGGAACAATAAACTCCGACAAAATATGTGATGGAGTTTATTATTGTTTTGCATGAATTGCACATGTAGAGGTGCCTACAGTCATTGTTTTAAATCATGAAAGTCATTCTTAATAAACAGGGAAGTTTTAAGACCAATTTTTAGTCTGTGGTAAATACCAATTTTTGCCAGGACCAACTGAATTGCTTTGTTTTTCTGGATGACCTTTGTGGTACTTCATTTCAAGTTGGCTCAAATGTCTTCAAAATTAACTTCATCTCTCTCCTGGGGCTATCTCCAAATAGTTATTTTTGGAAGTCCAACAAATGCTAAAAGGGAACAGTTACAGGGAGAAGCAGAAGGTAGCTAGAAACATCTTCAGGGGATTAACACAAAAACAATCAACTATGTGGACATTTTAATGACAAATGGGGATTCAGTGTGTTGAGGGGCAAAGGGATTATTTCAGTCCCATGAGATTTAAAGAGATTACAACAAAATAAAAAATCATTAATTTCTCCAGAAAATTGAGCCAAGGATATTTTAGGCATGACAAATTAATAGCCTTTGCTGTCCAATTTGTCATTTTAACAGTACCGTAATTGAAATGGAAGATTCAGCATGAGGTAATGTGATAGTCAAGCATCCTCTTAATAACTACATTATTATATCAAAATATATAGTATATCATATGAACGGAATTAACAGGTTGTCCAAAACTATGCCCATTTATTTAGCCATTGAATTTTATAGGAATCCAGTTGGTCTCAATAGAGGCTGATTAAGCTTATTGTCCGAACTCTTTAATCTAGATTTTTTTGCCCTCTATGTTGGGTAAGGGCAGCTTCCTCGAGAAGTGTCCATATTTTCAGATACTTCTCTAGTCCTTTATTTCTAAGAATGGGTAGTATCTTTTATCAGTTATTTTTTTAAATAATATATGGAAGGACAATTAGGAAGATCTGGTCATGCCATATAGATAGTTCTTAGTTTCAGCTTAGTGAAATGAGAAAATAAAATTCTTGTTGCAAAGTGAAGCTTTGGTTCTCAGAAAATAATAATATTGCCATGGGGCAAAATCCCTATATCATCAAAATCAGTGGGGGTCTAGTCTATACATTCTGTGTTCAGGAAAATGGTATCTGATGGGAAACTGTAAGTAAGCATTTTACCTGTTTGCTTTGTTTCAAAATCATTGGAATTATAATTACAGTCACCAGCCAGCATATTTAGTTGTTGGGAGAAAAGCTTTTGAGATATCATACCAGCATGATCAATTGACTTGCTTGCAGCTTTCTATCAAACACATAATTGCTCCTTTGAAGAATATCCATGTCAAAAAGTTTCTGGCCCTTTAAGTAAAATAGTTTTTACTTCTGTGGAATAGAGCAAATGCTACTGACTTGTCCTAAATAGAAGGGTTAGATGGTGGGGAAAGTGCTTGCTTGTTAACTTCCCAATACTGAAGTTGAAAGACTACAGAAGACCAGGAGCAAGAGAGCAATGGAGGAGTTTTATGTGTTTTTGTTTTGGGGTATTTGTTTTCCTCCTCTGAGCTGCAAAATTGGAACTAGAGGACCAGGAAAGGCTTGGGGCCAGGGGAATCAGTGGAGTGGCTTACTGTCAAATTTATTATCTGAACAAGTGGCTCCAAAGGGTGCAACACTTGGGCAAGGGATAGACATTACACGTAAACTAGTTTAAGTTATCAGGAACTGGTTTAAACCTGTAACAGAACAGATATTCAGGGCACATAAACCAGTTTGAAAATGGCTGAAACCAGTTTGAGATAAAGGTGGTTGAAAGTTGTATCAGACTCAACTGATTTGGGTCAAACCAGTTTATGCAACATCTGTTGCAGACCCCTTGCTGGTTTAAGATAAATCGGACTCCCCCAATATCCTGACATGCTCTTTGGGCTGGGTGAGACTCTGCTCCACAGTAGGGCTGGCCCCTCCCCTCTGCTCCGTGGCTGGCAGGGACTGCAGACTGATCAGCCCCTTCTCTTCCCCACTCTCTGCTAAGCAGGAATTCCCCCCTCCCCTCTGCCTTTCTGAGGAGGTGTCTATGTATTAGCCAGCAGATCACATGCTGGCTTCAGTCAGTGCTAAATCAACAAGTAGAATCTACAGGTATCTGGTAATGTCCCTCTGTTGTTTTCTTAATGGAGTGATAAACACTGAGTTAGGGGCAGGGATCTAGGTTTTCTGTTTCCCACGGAAAAACGGAGAAAACCACGGATTCCCTGTTTTTATTGGAGAAAACACGGATTTCTCTTTTTAGCAGAGAAATCCGCAGATTCTCTTCTTTTGCAGGCTGGCACAGCTCCAGACTGGAAGAGCTGATTGCAGAAAGGGCGGGAAACCCCTAGCCCTGCCCAGATGAGGAGGGAGAGGGGGAAGGGCAGGGCCTGAGCCTCTGAGTCAGTCAAGGCTGGGCTCAGGCTTAGAGTCACCCTTTGCCCCTGGATCCTAGAGGTAAGTGGGGCTTGGGGGATGTGGGGCAGGGCTGGGGAAGATGGTTGGGGGCTGAGAGAGCAGGAGGTGCTGCCAACCCCAGGTGGCACACCACAGCTGGGAGCAGGGCCAGGGGGTGAGGGCAGGGGTGTCCCTCTGCCAGGGGGGGCTTTGTGGGCAAGTGATGCAGGGCAGAGTGTGGTGGGGCCGACCATGTGCGGGCCACACACATGCTGCCTGGCTGTCTGCCCCGGGGAGGGGGAGGAGGAGGCTTCTATGTGGTTGACTGCA